TCAGGGCAGCAACCTGTGGAGCATGCAGCTTCCTAACTGTAGTGGTGGATGATTATCCTGGCTACTGTGTTGTTACTGTCTCACTCAGATTTATTGCTGTGTACTTGTAGTCCAATCAGTTGACCTCTGCTGGTCCAATTCCCAGCAAGTTTTTAAGGTGAGTGTGGGATAATAAGCAGTGGCTGAACATGAGCTGGAGTGGGTCTGGAGAAGGGCAGCAAAGCTGGTGAAGGGTCTGGGGAACATGTATAAGGAGCAGCTGGGGGAACTGGGATTGTTTAGTCTCGAGAGGAGGAGACTGAGGGAAGACCTTATTGCTCTTTATAACTATTTTTAGAAAAGAGGTTGTAGTGAGGTGGTTGTTGGTCGCTTCTCGCAAGTAGCTAGTGATAGGACAAGAACAAATGGGCTTAAGTTGTACCAGGGTAGGTTTAGGTTGTATATTAGGAAGAATTTCTTGACTGTAGGAGTGGTGAGGCACTGGAACAGGCTGCCCAAGGAGCTGGTGGTGTCACCATCCCTGAAGGTGTTAAAAAAACATGTTGGCATTGCACTTTGGGACGTGATTTAGTGGTCATGGTAGTGTTGGTTTGAGGATTGGACTTAATGATCTGAGAGGTCTTTTCCAGCCTTACTGATTCTATGATTCTATTTAAGTGCTTAATACATTTAAACTCCTGCTTATGAGGATCAGGGGTAGCAAGGTTGAAAAATGTTTCTCCCATATAGTCGTCACAGTTTTTAGCATGGCCTCTTATTGTTGGTTGCTAGAAAGTTTCTACTGGTTAAAAATCATACTTGTGTGACTTTAGCCTGCTTAATTTTAACATGTCCCCATGTGATCTTCAGTGATATTTTCATGTATCCATTTGTTTTCAATGATAAATTACTTTATTTTTCCAAAGGTTCATGGCCGTTATCAGTAGCACTGGTTTAGTCCAGAAGATGTTTCTCAGTTTTTATTACTAAGCTGATGTTGTTGATACATTGCCAACACTTTGACTTTGTTAAAAAAATAAATCTTCTTGTCATCTACATATGCAAATTGAAGAAATTCTGTTTTCTGTCCCTTCAGAATCTAGTTGACATGCACTCTGGTGTAACATACAAGGGTCACTTGTTGGAAACATTCTTAGTTTTTTTTTTTTGTTGCATTTCAGAGCTCTCAAGGTGGGTTATGGTTGTTTTGGTTTTGATTTTTACCATACTCCTCTTGCAACTTCAACCAGTGTTCCTGATTTTTGCATCCTGGCTACTGTCTTCTCTGTATTCCTAGAGTAAAATGGATGAGAAGCATTTTGTTCATCAATTGATGAGGCTGGGACCAGCCTGTAAATGGCCTGGTGTGAAAACTATGCACTTCCAGTTTTCATTGTAAGTATTTGGTTTAAACTGTCCTTGGCAAATAGCAAGTTCAGTTGTCACATTTCTTGGGTGTATGCCCAAATAAGATTAGGATGGCTGTCACTGGCCACGGGGGAGAAAACACACAACTCTTGGTAGCAAAACAAGAAATTAGCTTTGATTAATGTTTCCCAACACTGGTTGGAACAGTATTTAGGAACCAACAATTCTGTGTAATAACCAATACTATAATCTGGTTTAGATTTGCCATCAGTGCATTTTATAGATTTGCAGATTTAATTAGTCTTTGGTCAGTTCATAAAAGTAAATAGCACACAAACATTACAAATGCTATGTCAGTAATGTGTTAAAATTATAACTGGTTTTGATACCAGAGGGTTCCTGCAGATGACCATATATGTCTGGTGTCAGCTGGGTGGGAAAAATTGCTACCGACATGACTAGGCTGATGCAGTCAGAATATCATAGAATGTCATAGAATGGGGTGGGTTGAAAAGTACCTTAAAGATCATCTAGTTCCAACAGCCCTGCCATGGGCAGAGACACCTTGCACCACATCAGGTTGCTCAAAGCCCCATCCAGCCTGGCCTTGAAAAACTTCCTGGGAGAGGGCATCAACAGCATCTCTGGGCAACCTGTTCCAGTGTCTCACCAACCTCACAGTAAATAACTTTTCTCATACCTTATCTAAATCTATCCTCTTTCAGTTGGAAACCATTACTCCTTGTCCTATCACTACACTCCCCATAAAGAGTCCCTCCTCACCTTTCCTGTAGACCCCCTTTAAGTACTGGAAGACTGCTGTAAGGTCTCCCCAGCACTACCTCTTCTCCAGGCTGAGCAAACCCAACAATCTCAGCCTGTCCTCACAGCAGTGGTGTTCCAGCAGTCTGATCATCTTCATGGCCCTCCTCTGGACCCACTGGAGCAGGTCCATGTTCATGTTATGCTGGAGGCCCCAGAACTGGATGTGGTACTCCAGGTGGGGTTTCACAAGAGCAGAGTAGACAGGCAGAATCACCTCCCTTGCCCTGCTGGCTACATTTTTTTTAATGCAGCCCAGGATGCAATTGGCTTTCTGGGCTGTGAGCACACACTGCTGGCTCATACTCCATTTTTCATCCACTAGCACCACTAAGTCCTCCACAGGGCTGCTCTCATTCAGCTTATTGCCCAGCCTGTATTTGTAGTGGGGATTGCCCTGACCCAGGTGACTGAAAACCTTGCGTTTGGCCTTGTTGAACTTCATGAGGTTGGCATGGGCCCACCTCTTAAGGCTGTCAGAGTCCCTCTGGATGTCATACCTTCCCTCCAGGGTGTCCACCACACAGCTTGGTGTCATCCACAGACATGCTGAGGGTACTTTCAGTACCACTGTCCATGTAACTGACAAAGATGCTAAACAGCACTGGTCCCACTACTGACACCTGAGGAACGTCACTTGTCACAGGTCCCCACTTGGACATCAAGCCGTTGACTGCAGCTCTTGGAATGTGGTCATCCAGCCATTTCTTCACCTACCGAGTGGTCTCTCTGTTAAATCCATGCCTCTCCAATTTAGAGACAAGGATGTCATGAGGGATAGTGTTGAATGCTTTGCACGAATCCAAGTAGATGACATCAGTTGCTCTTCCCTTATCCACCAATGCTGTAACCCTGTCATAGAAGGCCACCAGGTTTGTCAGGCATGAATTTGCCCTTAGTGCAGCCATGTTGGCTGTCACTAATCACCTCCTTATTTTCCATATGCCCTAGCATCGTTCCCCAGAGGATCTGCTCCATGATTTTGTGAGGTGAGACTGACTGGTCTGTAGTTTACTAGGCCTTCCTTTTTTTTCCCCTTTTTAGCTGCTGTAGTTCAGACATTAGCTATCTAAGACATTGTTGTACAATAAGGCCTTCACTCGTGAAACTGAGTCTCTGTTTTCACTGGCAGTGATTCGAGCTCTGTGTTGAAATACAGTCCTTGCACACAAACCCTAAACTGAGCATCCTGAATTTTTAAACTTGGGGTTGCAACCTGTGCCTTCCTACTTCTAAGCAGACCAGCTAGCTCCAGTTATAGTCTCTCCTCAGCCTCTAACAAGAGTGGTTCAGTGGAGCATGATTGCTGTTTTGTGATGTGACATGTAGTGCTGCATGCTGTGTGGTAAATCTGCTATGGTTTTTAACAAACTGAAAAACAGCTTACTGAATTACCCAGGAAAAAAAAATAGGGAATGTTAAGTTATCCTGGATGACACTGTATAGATGTGTATGTTACTTGGGTGTGAGGTTGGCGGGTCTTTGGAATACTTTTGGACTTCATGCCCTCTCCTCAGGTGCAGCAAGAAACAAACAAAGTAGTGACTGTTGTGGAAAGAGACAGCTTGTGGTCAGCCTGGTGAAGAGGTTTAAACATACACTTTTAGAAAAGGTTGCTCCCTTAGAAACAAAAGGAAGAGAGTGTTTTCACTAGTCTTTTTTAACGAGGTAACTTGTCCTACTTTAAAATGTCAGTGGAACTGAGGCCTACTGTAAGTGCCTCAGGATCAGCTCTGCCAGGCCCTGCAAGAGCATCAGCACCCCACCCTGCGCCTTGCCAGGCCAGTGAGATCACTGAAAAAATAAATAGTTCCATAAGCACTGGAACTAATGACTTCTTGTTTCATGTGGTTTGGTCTCTAGAGGTTGATTTGTCTCTGGCAAAATCAGGAGGGTGTGCTCTGCCTGAAGTTTCTTCTGCAGTGGAGCTGTTTGCAAGAGTTCTCAAGAATAAAATTTTTCTGGCGTCTAAAAAGATGTGTTTTGCTTTCCCAGTTCAGTGTTTGCAAGATCCTTTTCTATTACTTATCCACCTGTTTCCACATGATCTGTAGGAACAAATTAATACTTCTTTGTTATATTTGGCCAATAGTGGCTAATTAAATGAGATTGTTAGAAGACACACAAGCAGCATGACTTTTCCCAAGGCAAGGAAACTAAGTTAAAAGTATTGGTGGTCTTGTGTGGTTGTCACTATGGCTAAATTCACTGTAGGGCTCTTCTTAGTCTACAGGTGGTGCTGCAGTACCACCTGAGTCACTTTCCTTAGGTAAGCTTTGAAGTTTAGGTAGAATAGTTGGTGAACTTGCCTGTTGCTTTTTCAAAGCTGTAATACGAGAAGAATAATTTCACACACTAAAAGTTTCTGTGGCTTTGCAGAGAACATAAGTGTTCTGCATGCTAAGGTGTTTATTTTGTTTATAGCTAAAGGCAAAGGAAAAAGTACAGTATCTAATTTTGTTTTGTTTTGTTGTTTTCTTTGTTAGCCTTACGCCTGTGTTGCTGGCTGACAGTATTCTGGCATATTTCTTCCTGCAGACAATCAAGCTCACTCCATCAGAGTATGAGTAACATTCCATGTCTGCCTCAAAAACAGTAGCAAGTAAAACGTTGTTTGTGATTCAGATGAAAATGAAGTTATCAAGTACTGATACTAGTCTTACACTGTCTGATTTAGGCTGAATGTTTTTTTGCCTCCATGTCTTTTACCAGAGTCAAGATGGTGTTATTTGCATGCCTGCTTCAGAAATAAAATGTGTGACAGGATGGAGGCAAATTGCATTTTTTTCCCCCCTCCGAGCTAGGGTGGTGCATGTTCTTCTCCCAGATGTATGCTAAAGCAAGACAGCTGCGTGTATGGCACCAGCGGGGAGTGGTGGGGTGAGAGGACTGGGCTGAGGTAATGGGTTCCATGCTCTAGGAGAAGGCAGAAGTCTTGGTGTCACTTACTACTGCAGCCTGTTCCTGGAATTCAATCAGTTAGTGACTTACTTTGGCCTTGGAGTCCTCTCCTTTCCTTTTTCTCCCTTCTCCATATTTACTCTGGGCAGATAAGCATTGTATGGATATTGTAAAAGGATGGTGGGAGAAGTTAAAACCATGTCCTACTGCCATGGACTTGCTCCCGAAGTCTGAACTGAGGGTTTCGTTATTTTGTGAGGCTTTATTAACATTGTGAAGAATGCTGTGTTATTGGTGGAGTAATTATACAGTTTGCAGATTGTCTTAACTGTTTGTTTGCATGTATGAATTTGCAATTTCGTAGTGTGTCAGTGAGCAGCACAGAAGGCACTGACGTTCAGTCGTTCACAGCCCGAGAGAGTTTTGCTGCTGTGTGTCACTTCGTCACGCAGAGGAGGTCCAGGTATTCGTGGTATTGTGCCCAACTGCCACTCACCTGAAATAGTCTTATTTGGTGAGATGGAGTAAGTGTTCAGGAGGAAGGGAAGGGTATCTGACACAACTACTCATTTGTTGTATTTATCATTTTATTTTTAAAGCATGTCCTAATGCCACAGTGCGTGCGTCCCCCCCATCGTGCTTGTTTTACGTATGACTTCTTAGGAGAGGAAGCTGGCACTGGGATTGTCTTTGAGCTTAACCAGAGTTTACATATGAAAACTGATGGATTTTTTTTTTTGCCATGTGAGTTTACAAACAGATCAGCTCTTGGCATTGGCTTAGTGGACAATTGTACGTGTGCCAGAACTGACTCAAAGGAAAGGCTATAGGAGTTTTTGGCTGGGGAAATAGGGAGAGCAAAATCATAGCAGCCTTGAATTTGATTGTCTTGTTCTGCAACGGAATTGTGCCATTGCTAGGGTTAACTCTGTAATACCATGTAGCTGTTGTTCTATTGTAGGTTTTGGGGTTTTTTTGGCTGTTTGGTTGGTTAGGTTTTTTATTTATTCATTTGTTTGTTTGAAAGGCCTGTACCTTACTGAAGGAAAAAATCCTGTTACTCCATACTTTTACCTTTGAACAATTTAAATCAAAATAGTTTAGATTGTGCATTGTGAAGATTGGAGAGCCTTTTCAGTGAATTTAGAATTTGCCTTCATGATGTGCACAGTTTAGGGGGTTGAGTTAGAAGGGAAGGCTACTCTTTCTGCTGCTGATTAGATTGACTGTCTTGCATCATGTTTGTATTTTTGAACTTTTATTTGTTACACGTACCTTTCGTTTAGACTTGTAGCAATTTTTCTTAGAAACAAATTTATTACATATGCATGCATGTTTATGCTGTGTTCTCCCAGTGATACTCTGGCTATATATCCTGTTTGTTTTCTGTTAATTATACTTTGCTTGATGGGAAAATTGGGTTATATCAATGGATTAGATTTCTAACAGATATTGCAAGTAAAAAAATTCATCATCTTTAAGATCATGGTTTAACTTTAGAGTGTAAATCAGAAGATGGTACTTGCAAGATCTCTGAATCTGACCCTGAGGAATTATCAGATGAAGCAAGTACTGACACCTTCTATGGAACTTCTCCACCTAGTACGCCGCGCCAGATGAAGCGTATGTCAACAAAACATCAGAAGAACACCATTGGGAGACCTGCTAGCCGCTCCACTTTGAAAGGTAGGTGTAGTTTGTTTTTGTTGGGTTGTTTTCGTTTTTTTTCCCCCTAAAATATCCATAAAGTCACAGTAGTAGTCCTTCATTACCTGACGGAGGAGGTAGACGACGGAGCCAAATAATGAAGTGCAGTGAAAGGGCAGGAGTCAGCTGTTGTAAGTTGCAACAAGGGAAAACTGTTTTGGGTATTAGAAGAATTTTGCCATAAGAGTGGTCAAGCAGTGAACAACTTGCCAGAGAGGTTGTTGAATTTCCAAAACACAACTGGGTAAGATCATGAGCAGGCTAAACTAGTTTTGAAAGAAAACGTGCCTCCAGCAGGAGGTTGGAAAAAATGACCTTCAGAGGTGTTTTCCAATCAATTTTTTTTTCTTGCAATTCTATAGTCTCTAGTAAAGGTATGGTTGCTTCCCTGCCCCAGTTTCATGTTCTGAAGCACTTCACGGTCTGTTTTATAGAAAAATAAAATCCTCAGTAATTATTCTTTACTCTTCAGTGTCACTGAAGCAATATCGCTGTTTACTTCTGTTGATGCTTTAGGCTTAAAGTTGTAACTGGGGAAAATCCAAAAGATACTTGATGTTTTTTTTCCTAATGTTACAGAATAATGATATCTAATAAAACATTTTTAAGTTAGAGTATGAATTTTAAACTTTTCTTCTGTATTTTGGGGCAGATAATAAGGTAATTGCTTGTTGAAAAGATAATTTTAAAAACATGCAGTAGCAACACCTTTTCAAGATGCCCTTCTATGAAAAAAAAATAAGGAAAAAAATGTACAATTTTAGTGGTTTTACTGAGCTTATGACAGTTTCAAAAAAGCCATTTTTCGGTAGTGTTTATTATTTTCATATAGATTATACCCAGGTTTGGGTGGGGCTTGTTTCTTTGTTTAAAAAAACCAAAAAAACAACAACAAACCAAACATGTTAGACAGTCATTTGCCAGATTTCTTAGGGCAGCTTGACTAGTACCAGTTAATATTTTGGAAGAAATTTTTAAAATTGCTTTACAGGAAACAGGAAGTGTTATCACAGAGTGCATTTACATGAGAGGATGACGTTTTCAAGGTAAAGTG